CTGGTTGAATAATATCGCCAACTGAATGAAAGTAGAGGAGTAGACCATTGAGTGCCGGCTCAGTAGTCTACAGCTTAAGTACTTATCGCAAAACCTGAAAGTTCAGGTTTCAATCCCCGGTGAATTCGTGGATGCAAGCTGCTGAAATGTTCTACATTAGAATAGAATAGTTCTTCATAGCTTCCTAGTTTTCACTGATTGCCTAAGTAAGGTCAGTTTCCGATGTCGATTGTAAAATAACATGAAATAAAACCTCTGTATCTTGGAAAACAGTTAATTCATTGACAACAATTTAACAGACGGAAACACGTCTAACAACAACAATGTTCTGTAACTAAAATCAGAAAATGTTAAGTAAAGTAATTAAAAGGACATAAATTTTACAATACGATAATCATAGTAGAAAAACAAAAAATGTCTAACAGAAGTCAATAACCATATATAGGTTTTTCTATTAGTTTATGTAAGAAACATATCTACACTTCAGTGGTTAGTAAGATTATGCTTGTTTTATTCATATATATTGTGTCAATATGTGACTTAAAAGTAAACAAATAAATAGAAAAAGATAATATTATATTTCCTAATAACAAGGAAGATTGATTTAGCTAAGTGATTCCGACATTTATCATATTATTATCTACATATTTGTAGATAAAACAAATAGTTTCTGTAATCGGGGACATTAGTGAAAAGTGGCTTCTTGTTCCGCAAGCTCATTTTGTAGATGTTTCTGACGCATTTTCAGTTGAGAAAGTTCAGTTTGTGCGGAGCACTTCTCACCATCTGCAGCTCTAACCTGTTCAGCAAGGCTAGCTGCAACACCATTTTCTCCACTGGAAGGACCGGATTTTACTGCCTTTACATGTAATAAATAAAAATGTATAAGTCTTTAAAAATGTATGTTGACTAATTAACTAATCTATCCAATTTACAGACTAAGTACACGACAAACCATAAGTTAGGTCCCAAAACTTGATAAATGTATAAAAACTGGCAGAACTGGCCAGAAACGGGGTCAACTAAGAGTGGTCATCCCACCTGTGGTACAAACAGACACAACGACTATCTGCTCTTATTGTAAACAATCCGATTACCTGAGGAAAACAAAGGGAAAGAAGTCTTGGGGATATAACAGTTTTATCTGGCTACATATGTATATTAACTATCTAATGCATTGAAGTGCTTTTACAAAATGTATACAAATTATTGTAAAGATAATTACTGTTGAATTGAAGTGAAGATATTACAGTGGTTGTTATAATTTTCTTCTCGTAAGCCCATTAGATAAATGAAGGCTGAGTGCGTTTGGATTCATGTATCGAATATGCTATGTTGTGGGAAAGATGTCGAAAAGGGCAAAGCAGATTTACGGCAGATGATGATTCAAAAAAAAGTTTGAACATTATCAAGTTAAATGATCATTATATTGGAATTTATTGCAATATAATGAAATGATACTGCAAATTACTAACGGTAGTCAACAAATAAAGCAAATCTTATTACCATCAGTAAAATGACAAAAATTCAGCTAACGAAGACACGTAAGCTTAAATTTTACATCGACAGTCGCTGTTTATATAACCAATTCACTATTCTATTATATTTATGGACACGATAGCTTAATCATTACAAGTGGTGACTCGCTAATGTGAAACAGTTGATTCAAATAATTTCAATGGGTACTATGACGTACTATCTGAAGTAAATGCTTACCTGTAAACGCTTTTGAGCCGCTTCAAATTTAACTTTCGCTTCTTCTGACTGTGCTAGAACGGACTGGTACTCAATACCAGCAGCAGCTTCCGCTGCTTTATGTTTAGAAGACAACTGCTCATCAAGCTCCATATACTGTGACTCCATGGACTTAACACGCTGTTTGGCGGCCCGAAGAAATTCAGACGCTCTTTGAGAAGCCCCCTTAGCAACTGCTTCTGTTTTTTGACATGCAGACATTGTAGATTCTATTTCTTCAAGTGCTGTTCCTTGATGCTTTAGATAAACGCTTTAAGAAAACAGTACAGCCTACCTCATCTCTTTGTTTGCAAAGTTCAGCAATACGACTTTCTATAATTTCTTTTGACTTCCGAAGCTAAAAGACAAACGGACTAAATAGAACTAATACGGTGAAATTACTTCTTCCATATTCTTTTTGTGCTCATCCAATGAACGTCGTTAAAACTTCCGGACATGGGTCAATAGACGGAGAATCTAAAGAAGAAATAAAACAATAGGAACTTACTGTACATATTGACGAATTAACTAGGAAATTGACACGAGCTGAGGCGGATGATAGATCTGTTGGTAGCGAATCTGTGTTAAGTGGTAAGTGATGAAGCATTACTCAATGAAACTAATGTGTATTGAATTCCGTTTTTAAAAGTGATTTACACCAAATTTTGTTGTTTGAATTGTTAGTGTGATAAACTAGTGAAATGGGAGTGCGATTTACCGCGCCAAAAGTTTTGTTTCTCGAAAGGTTGTGTGCATATTATCTAGCTGGCTATGTTATAATTTCATTATTTCAACACACAAACATTGGTACAAAAGGGTCGGACCACTTTTCACTAATATCCCCGATTACAGAAACTATTTGTTTTATCTACAAGAGCAGTGCTAATGATAGTATGTTAGTCCGTTATCAACTAATCCATCTTAAATACAGCCTACTGATTTTAAAAACTGTTGAATATTCGAGAGAATTTTCTTGTGACTTTTAAATATGTTTCGAGGTATTTTATTGAAATAAAAAATGAATGTCATTCAAAAACAACATATGTTGGCTTTAGTTTTCATTTCGAGCTGCTTATCATTCAATTAGTTACTCAATTTATTTGCCAGGTAAAGATTAATGTACTTTGCTTTGCGCCACACTCTGGATGTGGCAACTACTGATATTATCTGACTACTCAAACTAAAGTAGGTGGAGTGGGATTCAAATCCACGAATTAGTCGCTGAAAGTCGATCGTCTTAACCACTAGACCACCGCTTATCATGGTAGGATGTTCCCAGTATCTCTACCCAATTGTGTATATTTTTTTATTCACAGAGAAGCAGCTTGGCTTAGTTAAGGAAGCAAGGGAGTTACGTCATCAAGCTTCAAAGTTATCATCTCAATTCCCTCAACTTGTGTTTGATTATACTGATCCAGAGCCAAATTTTGATAGACGTCGTGTTCTTGGACCTGTTGCGAAATTGTTTCGTGTCAAAGATTTAAAATATGCGGTTGCTCTAGAAGTGATAGCTGGAAATAAGGTAATTTGTATTATGTTAATTGATGTTCACCTCTGAATAACTTACACCAGATGTTTTGTATTCATAGTTTTGAGTGGTGAAATTAGAACGTATTATTGGTTTATGTTAATTGTATGCGTATAATAATGCCACTGTTTGTTGGTATTTATTTATAAGTCTTAAGGGAATTAATTTTACCTCTGAACTATGCCTAACGTTAAGCTTATCATTTCTCTCATTACAGTTATATGCAGCACAGTTTTATTTAAAAATAACAATAATAGCTAGTACCGTTTTATACAAATTCCGATAACCACGTGTCAGATCAGTTGCAGTGATTCAGTAGGAATTGGAGCAATCGGATAGAAATCATAATGCTAACAATGGTAAAAAATTAAAAGATGAAGGGGAGATAAAAGAGAATCAAATAATTAATATTAACTGTATAGGTTGTTAAAGATTCTGTCTGGTCAAACAATACTCATATCCCTACTACCGTCACACCTTTGTACAGTCGGAAGTCTGGCTTTTCCTTCGGATCTTGGGTTCGCTACTTCTTGTCGTACCACTATTCAACTGACTTGCATTGCATGTTAGGACCTTGAGGAACAGTTGTCCCAGTCAGTATACACCTATTGGTTTATCACGATAGGCAAGCCCGACCACTACATCAAGGTAGCCATAACAGTCGGAAATATTTTCTTACGGTTACTGATAAACGTACACGAACCTTAACTTCGAATCGCGATGAGAGTTTGACAACTACAGCAACAACATAATTTCCCAAATAATCATGAGAGATGCTTATTCAATCATTTTCCAATGTTCTCATCAATTCTGTTGCTGGGAGTTCTATATACGGAAACAAAATTCTGCGACATAAGTCACAAATTTAACAAAATTCACACACATTTTTAATTTGACAACCTTATCAAATAGAATAACATTCCTAACCCAGTATCCCACCGAGAAGTTTATTACTTTCAATCTACCATTGAAAGCTGCAATCAATATTTAAACACTAAGTTAGCATTTAGAAGTCTCCTAACAAAATACCATAAAAAACTCAAACTACTCAGAAACAATCAAGATCTTTCAATAACACGTCCGAACAAAGGTACAAGGGTATTTCCGATGGACCGCACAATCTACGTCAAAAAGATAATAAATGTACTTTCAAATAGCATCAAGCCTTCTAAAGGTATCAAAGAACAGAATAAGACTGGAGTGGTCGGAAGACAACTAAATTTCCTAATAGAATGAAAAAGAACTATGTGACTAAAGAATACATTTACAAGCGTATTAAACTAACAGGGTCAACGACATTACGGTTATATCGTTTGTTCAAAGTGTATAAACTTGGATTACGTCTCCTATAAATTCTTAACATGTCTAGATCTCATTATCTCGTCAGAGATTTGGTTAGCAGACCTCATGGAGCTCATAAAAAAGTATTTTTTCTGTATTCCTCACAGATAACCTTTGAATTCATTGGCTACATAAAGGAAGTGAATGTAAATGACAATCATGATTTCCTTTGGTGTCGGACCACTTTTCACTAATGTCCCCGATTACAGAAACTATTTGTTTTATCTACAAATATGTAGATAATAATATGATAAATGTCGGAATCACTTAGCTAAATCAATCTTCCTTGTTATTAGGAAATATAATATTATCTTTTTCTATTTATTTGTTTACTTTTAAGTCACATATTGACACAATATATATGAATAAAACAAGCATAATCTTACTAACCACTGAAGTGTAGATATGTTTCTTACATAAACTAATAGAAAAACCTATATATGGTTATTGACTTCTGTTAGACATTTTTTGTTTTTCTACTATGATTATCGTATTGTAAAATTTATGTCCTTTTAATTACTTTACTTAACATTTTCTGATTTTAGTTACAGAACATTGTTGTAGACACAGAAGTCACTGGTAAAATTTTATTAGAACGTGGTCAAATTCGTCGACGTGTCACTATGCTCCCGTTAACTCAAATACGTGGAAATCCCATATCAGATGGTGTTATTAAAAATGCCCAGTCATTAGTTGGTGCATCAAATGTTGTCACTGCTCTTTCATTAATTGAATATGATAATATGCTTAAACCAGTTATGGAATATGTATTCGGTAGTGTATTAATATGTCCAGATATGGAAATAGCTAGGCGTATTGCATTTCACCCTGGTATTGAAAAGAAAACAATAACATTAGAAGGTGATGTATTTGATCCTCAGGTAATCATCTTTATTTTTGTTTTAGAAAAAAGTGATTTTAATCATTGCTTCTTTACTTGTGAACTTGTTCATAGTGTGAAGGGGTGGGATAATGGTTAAGGTGTTTGACTCTTGGCCAAGAAGTTGTCTATTCGAACTCCACTCTACCTACTTTCGTTTGAGTGGACAAATAGCATCATTAGCTTCCCTGCTTAATGTATATCTTTAAATCAAATGCATTCATCTGTACGTAAAAAATTAGTATTATGCAGAAGATAGTAATAATAACAAATTTTTCGTTCTTAACACGTTTGATAGTTTTTGGTATGTAGATTTGAAACTGTTGACTTGACCGTCAAATCTGTTGTGTTAGACGTGTTTCCGTCTGTTAAATTGTTGTCAATGAATTAACTGTTTTCCAAGATACAGAGGTTTTATTTCATGTTATTTTACAATCGACATCGGAAACTGACCTTACTTAGGCAATCAGTGAAAACTAGGAAGCTATGAAGAACTATTCTATTCTAATGTAGAACATTTCAGCAGCTTGCATCCACGAATTCACCGGGGATTGAAACCTGAACTTTCAGGTTTTGCGATAAGTACTTAAGCTGTAGACTACTGAGCCGGCACTCAATGGTCTACTCCTCTACTTTCATTCAGTTGGCGATATTATTCAACCAGCTTTCCATGTTGTGGGTGGATAACTGCCTTACAACCGATATGGTTGGTAAGTAAGTGTGATAGGCTGTAGGTGACATATTGTAGCGTTTCGTAGAAACGAAAATTGGTTATTTTCAGTCAGTCAGTCAGTAACAACGTAGAACTTCGTACGTACGTACATCAGTTCGAGTTGCCACACCACCTTAACACAGAGATGCAGTTGTCGATCCAAATCCCATAGTGGTAGAGGTAGCAAGAGTGTAAGCAGTGATCGGGAAGATTAGGGTTTGGAGATGTTTTTTAAAGAGTATAATTCAGTGAAATAAATTTGGAAAGAGGAAAAAAGGGACATGAAGAATTCAGAAGATTATAATTTGGGAGAACACAAAGAGTGGATGCACCTGCGCTATTGCAAACGATTTTGAGCCATGTCATTCAGGGTCTCTAACCATCGGTTGCTATCATCTCGCGGTCCCCAACCAGGTAGTCTACACCTACCAACATGACTCAGACCACTTGTCAGTGACTTCATGGATTTGTGCCATGTTTTGGTCTGGCCGCCCCTAGCTTTCTTCCAACCTACTCCTATACCACTGAACATCGCACGTCGAGGCAGTCGGTCGTTGGGCATACGTAACACGTGTCCCAGCCATCTCAACTGATGAAGTTTCACTACTTCATCAATTGATTTGCCATCCTTATCTAGTACTCGTTTCCTAACAACTGCATTACTTACTCGATGGTCCCATGATATACGAACAATGTTTCAAAGACACCTATGATCGAATACTAGTAACCTACGAATATCCTCTACTCTTACCGGCCATGTTTCACTGCCATAAAGTAGGACGGAACGAACTGCTGCGCAGTAAACACGTCCTTTGGTTGATAGACGGATATCTCGCCTACGCCATAAATGACGCAAGTTGACAAAAGCTAGTCGAGCCTTCTGTATCCGTGCTGAGATTTCGTCACACACCAGACCACAAGGGCTGATGAGACTTCCAAGATAAGTGAAGCGGTCGACACACTCAACTACTTCACTCCCTATCACTAGTTCGGGTGTCGATGTAACCCAATCCTGAAGCAACATTTTGCATTTGGAGGGAGAGAATCGCATCCCGAACATGCTTGCATTGTTGCTTAGAGTGGTGAGAAGACTCTGCATTTTGTCAGCGTCTTCACCAAATAAAACTATGTCATCAGCATATTCTAAGTCAACAAGTGAACCTCCCGGTAGAAATTCAACCCCTGGAAATTTAGATGAGAGTGTTATCTCTAAAAGTACGTCGACCACAAAGTTGAACAAGAAAGGAGAGAGTGGACAGCCCTGACGAACACCACTTGATGTAATCAATTCTGATGACAGTTCGCCATAAGCTCTCACTCTACCAGTTGTGTTCGAGTAGAGAGCCTGAATAAGGTTAATGTACTTCTTTTGTACTCCTTTCAGTGACAAACACTGCCATAGAACCTTACGATCAACAGAGTCGAATGCCGCCTTAAGGTCGAGAAATACTACCATTGTGGGGCGTCTAAACGTGTGTCTGTGTTCTAGAACCTGACGTAGTGTGAATATCTGATCTATACAACCACGTCCAGGTCGAAAACCGGCCTGATTTTCTCTAGTCTGTTCTTCACGAGCTTTGGTTAGGCGTCGAAGTATTATTGAAGCTAATATTTTAGACACTATATTAGTCAAACTGATTCCTCTGTGATTGTCACAAGAGGACTTTTGTCCTTTCTTATAGACTGGCACAATCAGTGATTGAGACCAGTCAGATGGGATTACGTCCAGTTCCCAAATTCTACCTAAGACCTCGGTTAATCTCATTGCTAATACTGGATCACCATCCTTAAAAATCTCAGGAGTAAACCTGTCAGGGCCTGCTGCTCTCCCTCGTTTCAGATTTCCTATGGCTTTTTCAACTTCGTAAAGGGACGGAGGACCTACATTAACTTGCCATTCAGGTTGACTGGGGATCGTGGGAAACCGAAGTGTGGCTGAAGGCCAGTTGAACTGATCCCTGAAGTGTTCTGCCCATCGATTCACTTTTCGGTATACCGATTTTATGTGTTATCATGTTGCATATTATTTTATTATTGTATATATGTTTAAGGGGATGGTGTAGTTTTTCACTGAAGTTTATTCATCATTATCAGCTTTTTACAATACTGTACGATAAATTCAGTATACTCGTTTGAAGAATTTAAGTACTGCATATTCGTCAGCTGAATTATTTAAAGATACTTTTTACTAATGCTCTTTTCTGTCATATTTTAGGGCACACTGTCCGGTGGAAGTCGGGGAACTGCTTCGGATAGTTTATTATTTCGTATATTTAAGTGGCGTGATCTTGAGGTTGCCGCTCAAAAAGCTGAAGAAAATGTTACTCAAGGTGAAGCAAATGTCAGAGCAGCTCAATTACGATCCCAAAATATTAGTCATATTCGAGAAGCGTTAGATAATGCTCGCCATCAATTAGAACTTTTAGAGACTCAAATAAGGCAGACAGATAAACATCGATTACGTGCAGACTTGGCAGCTACTAGAAATGAATTAAGTGAGTTTTCATAGTTTCAGTGGTAATCTAAATACTACTGACATCTGATACATGTTTTCTTCAAGGAAATTTTTATTTCGTTCATAAATTAGTATATGAGATATAAGAGCATGTTGGTTGTTCCATTATGTAATACCACACCTGTTTTTGTTCAGTTTATGATATTTTATACTGTGCACTGTGATACAAGTATGATCTATCTGGTTCTCCGTAGTGTGTTCCGGTGAGATCCACGTAGCTTTGTGTATGCGTTTGTGTGGGAATATTGTGCCACCTATAACCAATTTGTTGAATGCACATAGGTTTGCAAATCTCTCACCATTCTCGTTCCTATCTCCTAGTTCATGTCATCCCACGATATCTTCATATCCCGTGTTGTCCATTCCGACTGTGGCGTTTAGGTCTCCCATCACGATTGTGAGATCCTTTCTTGGGCACTCCTCTACGATTGATTGCAACCTTACATAGAACTTATCCTTATTGTCGTTGTTGCTATCATTAGTGGGTGCATCATACTGGATGACATTCATCGTGATTCCCTCCTTCTTTGTTTTGAAAGATACCATCACTGGAATCATGTTCGTTTATATGAATTTTCTCTATTCCATTGTTGAAATTCATTAGGTAGCGTTTATTTCTAGGAGAATTAATTTAATAGATGTGCACTTTTTGACTTAGATAAATCTATTCGTTTTGTGTAGAACAAGTCGAAGATTCTTTACAAAACGCTGAACAGCGTCTTAATCAAGCATCTTTAAAAGCTAAGTTAGCTCATGACAAAGCAGCAAACGCCGTAGCTGAATTTAAAAAAGAAGAACAGGAAGCTGAAAAGGCACTTTCAGAAGCTAAGGTTCAACTGGAATTCACGGTTAGTGCTTTAAGGGAGAAGAATTCTCTAAAGGAAACTTTACGCCTAGAAGCTGAAGAACTGTCAAAAGAACTAAATACTTTGAAGGTAACTTTTTTTTCTCGGTTAAATAATCACATGCATCAGATTTTCTTAACTTATATAAGCAACGTTATGATATATCTTGTAGACATTCAACCACTATATCGTAGATTAGTGTCTTACCCCATCTATTTCAATTTGGTGACCTGAGTATTTCCATAGCCATCACGCAAGGTTTGATTCACAGCCAAATGCACAAATCTATATGTGGGAATTCACATCATGTTAATAAACATTATACTAGTTATTATAAGCAAAGATGGATGGTGGCTAGCAGCGGAATTTAGGACGCTCGTTCCGTCGTATTTTGGACTCTTCAGCTGGATGTACCTGCATCCTAGAGTTGATGTCTAATTCGGGACTCAAACCCATTACTGTTCGCTTCAAACGCTATCGCGTTACCCACTTAGCTACTAAGTTCAGATAGCCACTAGCTTGTGCAATGTGATGACGTTTAATTCATTTTCGTATTGATGGTTAGCGCGATGGAGTTTGAAGCGAACAATACTGGGTTTTATTCCCGAAGTAGACATCAACCTTAGGGTGTAGGTACATCTAGCTGACGCGTCTTGAATTCCACTGATAGCCACCATCCATCTTTGTTTATAATGCTTGTGAATTAAGGCAATATCGAGGCAATTCATACAGGATACACTTATACCAATAAGAGACTAAGCAATTGCAATCCTAAACATCAATGAAAAGATTCAAATAAACAATACAAAATGAACTAATCATTATATTTGGCTTCGTAAACCGAGACGTTCTGTGACAGTGTCTGTCATTGAAAGGCGTACCTCAGAGGTGCATAAACCATGTGAGGGCTCTTAACTCGAACACTACCAGTCAACTCAGAGCTCATGGCCTATTCTCATCTGGGTTTACAACCTCAGGTGCTGTCTGGCAAGGATGTACATCATTTCCAATTTTGTTTAGTTTCATCATAGACCTACTACTGGAAATAACGTTCTCATCATCTGAATTTTCGGGCATTGATTTCCTACCAGAAGGTTCACTTATTGACTTAGAATACTCAGTTGACAGTCCTGTTTGGTGGAGACACTGATAAAATGCAGTCTATTGGTAGCACTGAGCAACAATGCCAGGATGTTTGGGATGCGTTTCTCCCCCTCTAAATGCAAATTATTACTTTAGGACTGGCCTGCGTCAACACCTGAACTGGAGTGAAGTGGTCGAACGCGTCGACAACACTTATCTAGGAAATCTGATTAGCCCTAATAGGTTGGTGTCTGACGAAATCTCTATACGGATTCAGAAAGCTCGTTTGGCTTTTGTCAACTTACGTCACCTATGGCGAAGGCGAGATATCCGTCTATCAATTAACAGTCGAGTATACTGTGCGGCAGTTCGTTCTATTTTACTTTACGGTTGCGAAACGTGGCCACTAAGAGTAGAGGATACTTTTAAGTTACTATTATTTGATCACATATCTTACAAATATTGCTGTCATCTGCTGGGATCACCGTATAAGCGATAATGAGGTTAGACACAAGTTATTAGGGAATGATGGTAAATCAGCTGGTGAGGTTATGAATCTTCATCGACTGAGATGGTTGCGTCACGCATTACACATGTCCAACCACCGACTAGCACGGCATGCAATGGTTACTAGTATTGGAGACGTATGGAAAAACGTTTTGGGCGACCAAACTAAAACGTGGCATCAGTTCATAAAGTCACCAACTTCTAGTCTGAGCCATACTGATAGATTCAAACTACTTGGTTGGTGTCCGCACGACTATCGTACCCAGTGGTTGGAGACTCTAGGCGACTCTAGGCTCAGAATCGATCACAATGGTGTAGGTGTATACACTTTGTCTTCCCTTAAACCGTGAGATTAAATTTACTGTATACCTTTCTTTCTACAAACCAATTCCTTCTCCATGTATCAAGTCCTTATATGAAATCTATGAATTCGGTGTTCATTTTGTTGTGCTAATAAGGTTTGGCAGCTTAGACCATTGCATATATGTGCCTGGTTCCACTCTGTAACTGACTGACTGACATAATACTAATAGTATCTCTGTGTGTCGTACTTAATACAAAGACGTTTTGTATTTTTGAATATCTCTTACACCTTTTTGGATTTCGTTATGTTAAAAAATATTTCTACTACAGATCTTCAATTCATTTGGTGTTTTACTTGTACCTTGCCATTGTTATTTGAGACTGCAATTCATCAGTCTCATGTTGGCATATGTGCATCCTGTGCGGATTGCCTCGATATAGCCTTAAGTGGTTAGCAGTGGAATCCAGGACACACGTTTCGTCCCGTTTGGCACTCGTCAGCTCGATGTACCTGCATCTCAGAGTTGGTGTTCAATCCGGGACTCTAACCCATTACCATTCGCTTCAAACGCCATCGCGTTATCCAATTAACCACTGAGTTCTGATAGCCACATGCTTGTGCAATTAGGTGAAGTTTAAATTCACTAGGTGTTGTTTTGCTTGGATCTTCCCAAATGGGATGAAACGCGCGTCCTGGATTTCACTGCTAGCCACCATTCATCTTTGCTTAAAACGATCTTCAATATACAAAATTTGTATCAGCGGAGTAAATCCTAAATGTTACGATATATTCCTTCTGTCTCGACTGTCACATCTTTAGCGTCGACTGTGATTTTGAAGAAAATCATGCCAAATTATGGCTGAAATCATGTAATCAAGATTGTAGTATTTAATATAATGTATAATTACTTCATTGTAAATTACCTACCATAACATATTATGTTATTGTTTTGTAATTGTTCTACTCTTTATTAAAGTAAACAGTTTATGTTAACACTATCTTTATAGTATGTTTTTGTTTTAGTATCTCGATAAGATGAAAAACTATGTATCCATCTATGTTTGGTAACAATTCAAGTGTGGTAGACTTTCTTAACTAATTCTTTCTTCCTATACTATATTCTTATTTCAATCTTTCTTTTATATATTACCACCTCTGAATTAACTAATTTTATGAATCCGGTGTCCATCTTGTTGTGTTAATGAGGTATGTCAACGTGGACCGATGCATACATGTGCCTGGTCCTACGTTGTAGCTGATTGAGTTGTGCTGTTCAGTCATTTATTGACCTGACTTTCAAACTCTTAAGTCCAATGTCTGAAGCGTTGTTATAGTTATCAAGGTTTCGAAAGTAAATTCAACGGTTGAAATGCAGTTGTAATACCATTCACTATTATGAACTAGTAGTAGTATGGGTTATTTCTATGGTATCATTGAGATCGTGTTATTTAGGTTTACTTTCAAGTAAGGTTTGATAATGTTATCTATTCTAACTTAGATATAATTCTTCAGGTAATTGCCCTGGTACGGCCGAGAGTGGGGAGAGTCCGCTCTCCCTCTCGAAATGCTCTCACACGGCCACGCGTATATAGCCTCTGCCAGGGAAGTCCTACTCACTGCCTTCTCGTGGCGGGGGTGTTGTTTACGAAAATGAGAGGACGAAAAGCGAATGTTCGGCGCTTTAACCGGATTCCAAACCAATGGTGCACATGGGCTCCAGTATCCTGCGGGAACAAATGGCGAATGAACCAATTGTTGGTCACCGGCTCCCATGGGACTGCATCTCCTTACGATGCTCCACTGCCTTGTGGATCAGACCTTCAGGTCGAAGGCTCGGGGTGTGGCAACTAAAAGAGAACCACCTGCTTCGGTTTGGGCACCCGGGCAGTATCACAGCCCTCACACACATATCGAATGAGATTTGTGTGGCGCATATGTATTTGGTGCCTCTTTGTACCATTATCTATGTGTTGAAATAAATAAATAAATATAAGTTAGAGTTAGAGCTAATGATACAACCTTGTTACCCAGTGAAGTAGACGGGGTGGGGCTCGAACCCGGGACTTAATCGCTTAAGGTCGAACACTCTAACCATGAAGCCATTACAACGCAGTGGTTAAGACGTAATTTTAAGCTGTGATTAGGTAGGTAAACTACTCAGTCTTCAACTAATAGGTTATATATTTGAAATATTATCCGCTTATTTTAGCGAATACAATCAGGTAGTATCATCACTGACCCTCAAACAAACAATGTGGCCTGGAGTTGAGTGCATTATGCTATAATATATTTAATAAATAATTGTAAGAAACATACCATTCATAACGTGTTCACAAGTTTACAACACTAATATATTGGCATACCACTTATGTCTATATCAATCGAGTGGTTTTGACCAAACCACTTGTTTATATGTGTTTAAACTTTAAGATGTTTAACATTACATTGAGATAGATTTAAAGAGAGATTGTATAGTTTTATACGAAACATTTATGATTTACCAAAATTTATTGTCATTTTTACCAGCTGTAAAATATCAGATTTCACCATAATGACCTTTGAAAGTAAGGAAACAACTCATAATATTGAATTGCTTGAAGCTGATAACCGATTTTAACATAAAGCATGTTTTTAATATACTTTAAATACTTATTTCTTTTGTGTATACTTTTTATTAAGCTGTCTCTTGAAGAAGCAATTCAAGCTGTAGAAGATGCACAGGCAGAAGAAGAACGTTGTATTGATGCATCACGATTAGCTAAAGAAGCTTTAATTAAAGCACGTGAAGCTGTTAATAAACAACGAGGATTAATTGATGAAACTGTTCGTGCATTGACATCTGCAGAGAAAGAAGCTGGTCAATTAGTTCAATCGTTAAATCAAACAAACAGTCAAGTGGATAAGCTTTCTCATCAAATTGAAATGCAAACTAAGGAAAGTGAAGAAGCCGATATCAAGGTAATTAATTTTCATATTGTATTTTAATTCTTTTGTGATACGCAATACAGGTATCTTTTCGTTTTTTTTAATGAGTTCTTACAATTTTTTATAAATGCTTGCTGTACTTGCTTGAATATATTTAATTTCTCTTTAATTATTTATTTCATAGTTACCCTCACAAATCAGTGTCATTTAAATAGCCATTGAAAGTCAGGAAGGGTTTGGTATGTGTTTCATCCCATCATGAGACTCGTCAGGCAGTGCGTATCTACCACTCCACTACCGTGCATTGGGCCCAAGACCTTAGATTTTGCTCGCAAACTCCGAACAACTAAGTTGTCACTTGGTGGTTTGCATGTTTTACTCCCATCCATTCGTAATATCATGCAACTATCATCCCACGTTTTTGTCAGATAGCTGCCTTACTATTAACATGCCCGAATCCTATTGGTTACAACTTCTCACTAAAACCAAGGAACTAATAAATATATAGGAGAATTTTTGATTTTCCAGTCGACGTTACTAATTGCTCTTAGTTAGGGTATCATTAAATACCAATGGAGCTCATTTATTTAGTTTTCGGAATGTTTTTAAAGTCAATGTATTTTTTCTTAGGCGATAGTAGTTGTATTCATTGTTTGTTTTAGTGAAACATGTTAAGAACTTATTTTTTTTATATATGCATCATGTAAAGGGTTAGATATTCCTATTATTAATGTTTAAGACGGAATTTGTTTAGCTTCTGTCAGTATATGTCCATTCTAAGTGAACTGCTTCAATACTACATCAGTTTACAAGTGGTATTTGTGACCAGTTTGAAGATCAACACTAGGATGCATGTGTAAATTCTGTTACGGAGTCCGAAATAGAATGAAATGCGTATCTTCGAATCATCCGCTAAACGCAATCCATTTTTACCATAAACTGTACGTTTTTTTTCTTCTATCATATTCGTTATATGCTTTAGTGATCATGATGGAAGTTTGTATACATCTTTTTATTTTACGGAATAACTAACATTCTGTCATAAATTTATTGTCATTTAATCATTTATTGTATGATTATGCTTTTAAATGAAATAAAAATCTTCAAGTGATCGGTTCTCAACTGATAATTTGTCTAGTTTCAATACTAAATTGTACAATATTATTTTATATATCAGTAAATTGTGATATAGATGAAGGTCGTTATTAGCGAATCTCAACATCAATTCAAATTAACTCAAAGTAGATTTCTGTAATTTGTGATATTTCAAAATTGAAAGTTTGATTCAAACTCTTTTCATTAATTATATTAATGTACTACTGAAAGAAGAACATACTTTTTAAATTGTTAAAGATTAGTGAATTTTGCTTTAGTAAGCTAGGTTTAAATGTTATTGTAATGCAAGTAACATCAAAAATTGACTTCATTGTCACTGTATAATAACTAATTTTTTTAATTATCCATCATACATCTAAACACTGTGAATAATCGAAAGAGAAGTTATATATTATAAATTATACACCATTGGCAAATAATTCCTCTAAAAAAAAATAAACAAATGAGTTCACTAGATTGCCCCCAAATTCCCTATATATATAGTATTAGTGCATTAATAGTTCTCGGAAGTTACTTGTAATTTAATGTTCACTAGGATATAACACTTGCTTTTCTCATATTTCTCTCAACAAATGTGTAGATTTAATTGTATCTATATTCAGAAATAATTTCGTTTTTTTTTAAAAGTAAAATACCTATAATTATTTAAGGAAGTTTATCTAGGAGATGATACTCGAAAAACGATTATATTAAAAGCCATCAAAATCCTATGATACGTATGCTTGACAAAGTCATATTACTAGGAAGATTAACATCAGTTCATGTATTTCTCACTGACTACTGATCTAGGTCATCTTGGTATGTTCATTCTAGCTGGTTAGGTAGGTCTGCTCAATAACCACCATCAGTGGTTGAAGACTGGGCGACATCGCTCAGAATCATCCACAGTATCACAGATACACTCTCACTTTATCTTTTATTTGGAAATCCAGTTTTCCTTCATATTATACCTTTTCATTGTTTTTTTTTTCGAATTATATTCTCAATACTGGACTTTTATCTTGATTATTACCAATTCGATCTGTTTTCCTATTCATTGTTATTTTTATGTTGTTGCGTTGACATGGTAATAGCACCGTGTTCCAACGCACATCTGTGCCAGACTCTACGTTTATAATGACTAACTGACAGATTTGAAAAATTGTATATAACAAAATATTAATTATTACTAAAACTTCTGATTATCTGGACAATTTAGTCGTTGACATGTGAACTGTGACATAACTAATATTTCAGTATTTACGTAGTTACACTGTAGGATTACTTTATTTCAAACGTTAGTTTTAAGAAGTAATTTGTATATTGAACATTATTTTGTTTTGATAGATAGAACGACTCTTAGAAGCATATCCATGGATTCATGAAGAAAAACAAAATTTTGGTGTTGAAAATGGCCCATATTGTTTTACTTCACGTAATCCCATTGAAACACGTCAACGAATTCATTCACTGAAGGAACGTCGTGATCGTCTTGGTCGAACTGTAAATATGCGTGCGATGAATATGCTTGGTAATGCTGAAAAACAATATTCTGAATTGATTAGACGTCAAGAAATTGTTTTAGCTGATAAACGTAAAATTCAAGCAGTTATTGACGATTTAGATAAACGAAAAGAAGTCTTAATATGTGCACATAATAAAGTCAATGAGGTTAGTGTAATTTTCATGTTATGCTATTACAATTCAATTTTATAGGTTTTTCCCCTAATTACAAAGTGTTTCTTCGGAACCAGTCTGCGTCTTCATTTGAACTAATGTTAGACAGTAAAACAGTTGAGTGTGTCGACCATTTCACTTATCTTGGGAGTCTTATCAGTCCTGATGGGTTGGTTTTTGACGGAATTTCGGCATGGATTCCGAAGGCTCTGTATGCTTTGCCAACGTACGCCACTTGTGGCATAGGTGAGGTATCTATCTTCGAATTAGAGGATGAGTTCACCTCGTCCTACTTTATGGCTGTGAAAAATAGCTCTTGACCGTAGATATCTTCAATGGATTACTCTTATGTATTGGGATAATTGAGTTAGGAATTCTGAGGTTAGACGCACAGTACTAGGTAACGATGGCGAACCGAATGATGAGATACTGAGTATTTATCGACTGACATGGATAAGACTTGTATTATGTGTATCCAACAACCACGTAACTCGGTGCTCGATAAACGCTGACGTCGGAGTTAGTTCAAAGAAAGATAGGGATGGCCAAATAAAGAAATGGTACCAGTCCATGAAGACACGGACTGTTAACATGAGCCACGTAGGCGGGTAGAGACTATATGAGTGTGATTATGGTAAACAATGGTTGGAATTTGAGTAACATGTTTCAATATTATTTTCAATAACCCTGGTTCATTCACTCTTTACCGTCTCATGGATTCTACACACCGCAATTTTTAAAAATCCTTATTTCACTAGTTTATATTTTATTCTCGAATTGTATCTTCGAGTTCTAATCTTTTTTATAACCACTTATAACGTTACCATCTCTACCACTCAGTGATCTACCCTGAAAGTTTTATTTCATTGTGCTGAATGGGTGTGACAATCTGAACCGATGTACATACGCACCAGGTTCTACGTTGGATATGGCTGATTGAATGACTGAATTTTGTGAATATAATGTGCATACTAAATTATATTTGATAAATGTATAATATATTTGATTAATATTAATTTAACCTGATAGTTTGTTATAAACTAAGTCATATGTAGAGACTTTTATAATAATTGTCGCACTATTTTTAGATTGATCGGAATAATCCACATAAACTCGATTAAAGTAAAAAGACTGTTCTAACTTCTTGAAATATTGATATACAAATATGTATAAATATTAACTGATCATATATCAAGTAGTATTTAGCTTAGATTAAAGGTGACTCACATCCAAATTGATAAAAACCTCGACAACAGTCGACTGTCAGCATTGATAAACATAAAAATGATCAGTTCAATGTAGTTAGACAAACGAACAGAAGTATCAGTTAATTTATGATCAACCAATGAAATAGAAGGACGAAATTATATGATAGAAACCGGTTATACATAAATAATGCCATTATACTACACAAATCCCACAATTATTATATTGAGGTATATTAAAAAGTGGTTTATTTTACACGTGTCATGCTATTAAACGCTGGTAGATTGTTGTTTAACTTATGAAGTTACTTGTATTATCAATATAGAAGGATTGTTAGATGTTTGTTGTAATTAGCTTCTGGCTGATTTGAAATGAAATACCTTTGATGCATTAGCTCCATGATTATTTAAGCATTGTAATCACGGTTAGTCAGAAGTGAAGTAATTATAGTAAGAGAGTTATACGCAAAATCCATCGGACTGATCTTGACTGTTGATAACTTGAAATTTTAAGAAAGGGCAGAAATCCTCTGGAGATATCTATGTACTGTTCGATTCTTAGATGAATCTCTGTAAGAGAAAACAAGTAAGGTTGTTGATACAGACGTAGATGTAGGACTTGTATATTTGCTTTCTATCAGGTTTTGGTACACAAGTATGTTCAGGGAAATCCGATTGTAATCATATTCCTCGACTTGAGGGTTACTATCGGTGAGATTATAATTTAAGAACGAACTGATGAAGTTAAAGGTAGTAAGTCCTGGATTTTGGCGCGAAATCCATTTACCTATATAATGAAATAGTATTATAACTGGTGTCAGTTCATGATGAAAACGTTTATTTTTATTCCTAACCTTAACTTCCAACTCTAAATCTTAATCCTAATTCTTCACACTAATTTATAAACCTCTTTTGACCCTAGTAAGCAGGTGACTTTTCCCAAGGTCACTCTTGCATCGCTCGAAGGTCGTCCGTGAATTATAGTCTCACCTTACTTCGTACTGCATTTAACGCTCTGGGTCAAAATTAGAATATATTTGTGTTTTTCTCACTTCAAATACAATTGAATTTCTCTGGATTACAATCCACAATCTGGCTGTAGGGAGTAAAATAGTTCAATGTTTTAGTAAATTCGTTAGTAAATTTCGCAAATATACTGTAGGGAGCAATTTCCTACAGGTTTAATTCTGAGCTATTCTATAGACCGTCGAATACAGAGTCTTGCTTTGGCCAAAGTCAGAACAAGCAAGCTATTTGGCTAGATAAACTTTATCTGTTTCTAAAACATAAATTGACATCGTTAGTGTACAAACAAACAGTACGGTTTATTAATACAGGGAAAAAACAGACAAATAACATACCGAACAGTAGCCAGAGAATAGGAAAAATGAGTCAACAAGCAAATATTGCTTTACAATGAACATCAAACTTTGATTGGTTAATAAAGAGATACAGTAGTACAAGGTCAAAGGGAGTTAATGTGGTGGTGGGCGTTTCCCTTTATTATTGGTGAGTTCGTCTATCGATCACATTTTACACTCCCCCCGAAACGCGCACCACGTCCATTGTCCAGGGTCGTCGTCGCCGTCAGATAACCGGCTTCTTCTAGCAGGCATAGGCTTCGCACATCTCTGACGATTTCTTCCTTTGAAGTTCTCAACTTTTCCGTGCGGACTCATCCGTCCGGGCCATAGCTTACTTGCTCGACAATAGCCTTAGGCCATAGACCTCTATTCATTTCGACGTTACTAACAAGGACTAAGTCACCCGGTTGTAAGTTCTTGTGTACGTCCAACCAACATAGTCTTCATGGCGAATGGTTCATTCGGCTTTTCAGTTCTTATCTCTTTCATTTCGTGTACACTCGGTGCGTTGCACCCGATCAACAGTTTGACATTCTCATCCTCTACTCTCGGAAAACTTATGTCTTTTAAATGCGTCCAGGATGTCATTTGAGACGTTGTTACCGTCCTGCGCAACATAGGTAATCTCTCGACAGTCCATACGTTTGGGATTCTAAATGACGAAGACGAGTCTTAGGAGGAAACCTCTAGTTGGACCTCTTTACACTGAATTGTGGACTGGTTATCCAACGTTTTCAACGAAACCGTCTTACGCTCTCCTTCTAAATTCAACCTTCTAGCTAGATATTCTGTAATAAGCGAGGCATCCGACCCACTATCTAAGAAGGCATAAGTCTGTACTGACTTTTCTCCATTTTTTATCAATACAGGCACTATTGCAAATGCTACTTGCTTCTGTACACACTCAACGCTTCTCTCCGTACATAGCTGGGTGTTAATGTGTGCATTATTATTATTATCTCCTTGCTCTTCCCGCATCCTATGTAACAACGTATGATGCCTCCAACCACATCCTTCGACGGCACATGACCTCGGTGCTCGACAGTTTCTCGCTATGTGGTTCGCTTTTAGACAGACATTACACAACTTCTTCTTTGATACAAATTTTATCCTTTCATTAACATTTTTGTCTCTAAACCCTTCACATTGATCTGATGGGTGATTTCCCGTACATAATAAACATGACAACCCAAGAGTCCTTGGTCTTACATATGGAATGGCATCAAATTCACTCGTGTTAGCGAACGACACTCTCGCCTTATATCCTGAATCAAAGTGTCCTTTAGTATCAGCCACAGATTGTCTTTGGTTGCGCTTAGAAGGGTCACCAGTGACAAGTAATCCATATCTAGTATTAGCAATGTCAGCTTGCTCCTTTACAAACTCAACAAGGTCGGTGAACAGAGGCTCTCGACCTCCTCTAATAATCTTATAAGCTACCTATAGTCACTCTTGTTGAATGTGTGTTGGTAATTTCAGAACCACAGTTTCAATAGTTCTAGAAGAGTTCAAATCAGAGACTTAATTCATCTGTTCGAGAGTCAAACCACGTGCTTGCATTTCTCGAGATAGTCTTCTCAACCCATCTGGTTGATTCCTCCTTATATTGGGAAAGTTTAACAAGTTGTCAATAAACGTGCGTGCTACAACATGTTTTTGGTCAAATCTTTCCTCTAAGAGCTTTAAGACTTGATGATAAACTATCTCTGGTTCTAGTATACTAGCGGCTTTCGCTTCTCCGTCACAATATTGAATCAAGTAATTTAGCTTAGCTCTAAATCCAATATTCTCACTCCCAATGCATTCTTCGAAATTTCTAATGAAATTCCAATAATTTGTCGGTGTACCATCGAATCTTAAGACTTCTCTTTTTGGTAAATACAGATCTTTTAATATTGTATTCTCACTGTTGCTTACTGAATGGCCGGAACCTTCACATTTCTGGAGACGTAACTTTTCCAGTTCAATTTCCTTATCTAACTGGGTTATGCGCAACCTAGCTAACTCTAGTTCTATCATGCTATTGTTTTTGAGTTCGTTTTTTTTAAGTTGATCCTCGTCATAAACTCCCAATTGATGGGGTGATAACTCTGGAATCTCGTCGGAATCGTAGTATTTATTGGAGGTCATTTCAGTAGGTATATCGAATTTACTGTTCGAAACTTTGTAGGAAGCAATTTCCTACAGGTTTGATTCTGAGCTATTCTCTAAACCGTCGAATACAGAGTCTTGGTTTGGCCAAAGTCAGAACAAGCAAGCTATTTGGCTAGATAAACTTTATCTGTTTCTAAAACATAAATTGACATCGTTAGTGTACAAACAAACAGTACGGTTTATTAATACAGGGAAAAAACAGATAAATAACATACCGAACAGTAGCCAGAGAATAGGAAAAATGAGTCAACAAGCAAATATTGCTTTACAATGAACATCAAACTTTGATTGGTTAATAAAGAGATACAGTAGTACAAGGTCAAAGGGAGTTAATGTGGTGGTGGGCGTTTCCCTTTATTATTGGTGAGTTCGTCTATCGATCACATTTTAAATATACTTTTTCGAGTTTCTTTAGGTAACTTGTTTACGTTTGCACTTCACTGTTTGTTATTTCTCACGATTTAGGAATTCTGTAACATTTTCGGAACTCTGTTACCAGGAAGTAAAGCACGTTTATTTCCCCCGGAAGGTTTGAGTGTTCTTGATGGATTAGAAATTAAAGTTGCATTTGGTGATGTTTGGAAAGAATCACTTGGAGAATTGAGTGGTGGTCAAAGGTATCAATTTATTTTTAGTCACATTGATATTTTGGGAAATATTAACTAATATTTAATTTTTCCAGCTATTTACCACTACATTATGTGTACATCTTTTGTTAAATTGCTCAAAAAATCTTAAAATGATATATTTCGTAAAAATTTTATTTCACCGATTCCAATGATATAGGTTGTTAAGATGGCTAGGAGATTTGTAACCTAGGTGGGTGGTTTTAGTGGAGTTTCGTAATCTGAGCTTTCATTGAAGTTTTCCTCGTGTTTCTGAACGACATCTTCAGCCCAAACTTCAAGTCAAAAAGTGTCAGGTATTCGAATTTTTTCTCACTGTTTCTAAATTCCATCAGAATTCCGAAATGCTTTTATCGATCAACCTACTGTTACCATTATTTGTCTTTTTTGAAGTCCAATGTGTTGCCCTTTACATACGCCATTATCCCCCTGATTCTGTTGGTATTATGATTGGTCTCTGATTTCCTTCCTGTTCTCTTCATTTCAATCTTCTGCTGGTCGGTATTCCAGTTCCAATTGCTGCTACATACTACTTATATCTGTCAACCTAAGTAGCATACACTACAGTTTTATATTGTGCTTAAACACCAATATGTTATGGTCAGATGTCATTTAGAAGATTAAATTGACCACTAAAGTTCTTTTATATTCAATGGCTATTATTAGAATTTGTGTATTAATTTCAAAATAATGATGCACACATGATTTCCAAAGTTCAGTAAAAAAACTTTGATATATATGCATAGTTGATTTATGTATGGAGAAATCTTCTTGAGGATTTTTATTTTTACTTCATAGTTATTATATATGACTACTGTTATCATCTAGACTTCAGGGTAGCGTTATTAAATTCCCTTGCAAAACATTGTATTGTTATAACTTTGTTTCGTCCGCCTCACTAGTCTACTCCTAATATCCAAGAGGAGAAAGCGTTGTCTTGATCTAGTTTCCGACCTTGACGTGATAGGTTACCTAGTACAACTTTGAGGCCTGCAAACTACCCTATCACTGACCGGATAGATTTTCAAGAGGAGAGAGAAGACTTAGCTTGAACTGTGTATCTAATTTATTCCTGACCCAACCAACTTAACAAGAGACACATGATAAAAATAAAATTATATCCAAACTATAGGACATTAGATTCGAAGAAAGGAATGGATGGATCATGTCTAAATTACAGATAGGAAAGATTACGACAGTAATTTATACATTATAAACGAAAGCTGATTATTTATAGGATAAGGCATGCACAAAAATAAATGTTAGCATTTCTCAAACTCTGAATTAAACAAGGCATTGTTTTAAACAAATAGTTTTTGTTGTTCTTCGTTGTTTCTTTTCTTCACAAAATATATGAACTCGTCTGTGTTTGTTTTGTTTACCTTATTTTTTAAGTGCGTATTCAAATTTTTTTAGCCATGAAACAGATATATGAACTCTCTTAGTTTTCTATCGATAGGCATGTTTAAATACTCCTCACACTGATCGTAAACAAGTTACTCGAAATTGAACAGGGATCAACTAACCTGGATAAAAACATATTATTAATGAACATATAAATTTCTACCTTTTTTAAGTAAACAATTAGTGTCCGTAACTAAATGGTATATTTTTTCACCTCTGGAAAATAGTGTTTCTGCAAGATGTACAGGTGCCACCTGTCCTTTCATTCACTTTTTATGGACTTAATCCCTACATATGTACATATATAATCTTTTATTTCTATTCTTTGCTTTTGTGACAGCTTATTCTGTGTGTTTTATTATTTTATCTTGTTCGTAGGTCGTTAGCTGCCCTTTCACTTATTCTGGCTTTATTACTCTTCAAACCTGCACCTTTGTATATATTAGATGAAGTGGATGCGGCGCTCGATTTATCTCATACACAAAATATTGGTCAGTTGATTAAAAATCATTTTAAGCATTCACAGGTGGGTATATTGAAAATTCTCTTTTTTTCGTTTGCAACAATTGTTTCTGTAAATTATTACATGATTACATTGCAGATTATACTTAAGCTCCCTAACCCAATGACTAACTGACTTGTTAAATTCAAAATCCAAATGCAGTAGTTATCTGAAGAAGGGTGCAAAAATATATACTAAATATCAACATACCTGTATTCCTGAGACGTCGATATATTCAACCATAAAGAGAGATGCTTTTTAAGGGTTTTATAATGATTATTTATAAACATACACTAATCTCAACATCAGTACATAGCTGTGTTCTAATTCGCAAACTGTCAACATCTGAAGCAGACATTAAGATCTGAAAAATTGAAAGATGCTACGCCGAGACAAAATTCGATGAATGCACCAGAAAAATTGTTAGTGACTATCAAAATTATTAAAAAGTTGCGGTCAGAATGATAAGTAAACAGAATGACACAGGTTCATGCAAGTGCTAAGCAGTAACATACGATGGCCAAGCCGTTTTGCGTACTGTATGTTCGAATTGATGGATCTTGAAATTGTTTACTGTTTAAATAAGTAGTATGATGTAATATACAGAAATATTAGAATAAGGAAGGAAGGAGTATCGATGTACAAATAGATTTGACAGATAGGCCGTTCTTCCTGTCAGTGAAAATTGCAAGTCGTTTCTTTTTTAACATTCACATAATAAATTAGAAAAGCGTGAACATTTAGCTTATATGCATTGTTATGTGTAATATTTTCCCTTAGCTGACTGGCAATGTGTAAATTTATTATGGTCATTACGTAACTTACACATTTTGTTTGACAGTTGATGTGTCTCTGTTTCAAGTTGAGACGCTTGCAATAAAAAGTCATAATTATTTCTTCTTAACAGCGCTATCTCTGTGCAGAATTAATCTGAAAAATGTTATATATTTCGAACAATCCGGTCACATATATGGTTGTCACAGCATTCATAAAAACTAATAAAGCTTAATTGAATAAGATGTCGAACGAAAACAAAACAGTAGTTGTAAGTAAGCGCGGAAAAATTAACTTATCATGGGAAGGATAGGAAATTGTCACATCACCCTAGGTCATAAATTGCATGATGGATAACAATGCTGTCTCGTGGTTGCAATATATTATCCAGTATTCATGAAGGGCATTTGGATGTCCGAATAGCTAGGGATTCTATGAGTCTAAGATTTCGTCCTTGACAGTTTTTGTAGGGTGTCGTAGAAGCTGTATTAAGGTCAATTCTATGACCCGTCGTGTTTATATGTTTTGTTGTCAATAAACTTGGTTTTCTGCTTTCTATGTACTTCGGAGTATTTGATATTGAGTCACTTTGAAACTGTTTGGGCACGTGCTTCGTAACCCTTGATCACTTTGTGTTGTGTGTCTATATAAACATGTAAATAGGTGAATACTGTGGAATGTGACACAGTCGTTCGTATGACGTTTAATCTTATATGGAATCGGGGATTTAGCTTTTTCAGTCTAGCAGGGTAGTATGTTTCCTCGATGGCTGCTTCCAGACTATTTCAGGATTATGCTAATCTGCCCCAAATGATATAGATATATAGACTTTTTCTCAGCAGACAATTTGCACAAATCTATGTAATTAGAGCAAGGTTCTAATTTTGCAGCCTGTTAATTTTAAGTAGATCGGTCTTACCGCGCAGCGTTAAAATGAAAGATGTGTAGGATCTCGCAATACAAATTATAGTGATTGTTATGTTTATGTGTTCATCACGGTATTATTAGTATTATTTTACGCGTATCGTGATAGAAATGATTTTTGTAGTTAAGTAAATACGTTTTTTTTTATATAACTCGTATTTAGAAACTTCACAGTACTTAGTTTAGTTATTCCGTTATTTTTATGCTTCCTTCGGATCTAGTTCATTGTCGTGTCACTCAAGGATGGAATGTTCAACAATGCTAATGTACTATTCAAAACAAAATTCGTAGATGGCGTTTCAACTGTGTCTCGGCATGTACCTCTACGAGTTCGCGACGAAAATAAACGGCCTGAAACAGAGAGACAACGGAAACGTGTTAAATAAATTCTGTTTGTATTTGTCTTTTTTTTAAAGATACGTTATTTATCTATCCTCCCTTAATAATGATTCGCTGTACACTTTGTCGTATTCAAATATCACTTTATTCAACATATATTAATTTATGTGTGTATATGTAGTTATACATTCTTCGTTTTGAGTCTTATTGTGAATTCTGGTGATACTGACGGGTTAAATTTTTATAGGTTTGTTTCTAATCCAGTTGGGAGTTGAATCTATCCGCTAACAAGACTGTCATGTTGTGTACAGTTTAGGTCGAATCTTGGTTTGATAGTTTTCCGGAATAGACAGGTCTCCGCACAGTTCCACAAGTCCTACAGACTCCGGCTGCCCTGTATAATAGTGGTTAGTGAAATACTCTCATTTCAAAAGATCCGTACCATTCAGATAGTGACTGCTTAAACAGGTTCAAGTCAATGGAGTAATTAGACGGTTGCGTAGTGAATATGTGCGTTGACCAGGTACCATGCTTGATATTCTCAATATCAACTAGGTCGAGCCGCCATGATGATGTAACTAAGACGTCCGACACGCATCTGTCTTCATGGTTGGGAGTCGCTTCAGACTTAACTCTCACTCGTCCTATCGCGACGATCAGCAATACGAAGAACAATCTGAGTTGGGATACAACAATGAAGAGGTTAAACATGATAAACCATGTTTCAATCAATTGCTCCGGCGTCTAAATCTCAGTGGCAGTTTAATATCTTAGAGATGTCCAGCTAAGTCCGTGCGCCCATTAAAATCAGGATGTGACAGCAACCAACCTATAGTCCTGAAACAGTGTGCGGAGGCCATCAGTATACCAGTGTGTGACGTGTTCAGGCACTCACTATATTTACACCAACTGCCAAGGTAATGTAAGTAGTCCACTCTATACAATCTTCATTAAAGCGATAGTAAAGACTCAGCTTGTTACAGACCTATCGCAATACTGTCGAAGGTAATAGGAGGACTGTTGGATAAACAAATGAGAAAATAGATAAATAAAAACAACATTTTATGTGAAGTCCAAAACTGATTCAGGAAAGGCATATACTGTGACTTCAATCTCCTCATATCATGACAAAGCCGAAAGACTAAAAGATACCGAATTATCCATTACTTCTCGAATTCGCTAAAGCTTTTTATACAGTGCCTCAAGTACACATAGCGAAAGTTACAAAGATGGCATATATAGGCCCTATTCTATCTTGGTTCCGAAACTTCCTAAAAAACAGAAAGTTTTGAATTAAGGTAGAGTGCACATTGGTTGAAGGGCCTCGATATCGTGTTTCACATGCAAAATCTTTAGGTCCACTCCTGTTCTTGTTCTTCATTGACGATATAATTAGCTGGCCAATACTGATTTACACAAATGACTCAATGATCTAGAGGCACATGAAACTCAAAACGGATCCACCAGAGCTTCAAAACGATCTTACATCAATAGAGGAGTAGACAGTAGACAATGGGTTGAGACGTAACCTGTCGAAATGCCATGTTATGAACAATCCACCTCATTTGACATAAACCACTTACATGCTCCTTAAAGCTTGATTTCGAGTTTGTATGCACAAAGCCCTTGTATGCCCTAGTGTTGTTCCTAACACTGCTTAAAACATGCGCAAGGTCTCCCGTTGAAGTTCACAATGTAGTTGTGCCTCTTCCATTCTAAAGAAATATAAAACTCTTAGATTAATTACGAAGATGAATAATCAGTTGCGTGATCAGGCTAATTCATAGACAGACTCAAACACCCGGGATATTTCCTAGCGAGCTATATTAGGATAAGAAGTGATCTGATAATGGCATATATAATATTAAGTATGTCTTGCCACCTCTACACGAGATCACTGTCACAACATCCTCACCACTCACTTTGAGATTATCCTCGGATGATGGCATATAAATAGTGAACACCCATTC